TTTTTAAAGTTGCATTTCAAATTCTTCTATTTTCGTAATAGCAGTTGCTTACAATTTTCATTCGAACCCCGATCGATCTATAGCTCTACTCTTTGCAAGTACAATATTAGAAAAAAATTGGCGAATAAAGCAAGTTTTTATGTATTATTGAAGAATATTAAGTGAGACTTTGGATAGAGCAATTCCTTTTAAAGGATTTGTCAACTGTATGAATCAACAATTACTTTCTGCTCTCGCTTTCACTCCTATGCTAGGAACGTCTGAGTTTGCTCGTCACAACCATCACAAACAAATTTTTTCCTGGTAAGACTGACATCAAAAGTATATCCATTAAAACTATGGATAGTTTCAGTAGCTTCTTATGGTTTATTACACTGCTGTGAGTACTATTAGCATCGTGATTGCTATTATAATGAGAACACCGGTGAGATTCATATCTAAATGATGAGTGCTGATGGTGGGTTAGACAATTTTGAGAGATTAATGGTGAAAACGGCATTATTGCAACACAATGGGCTCACATTCGTGTTCCGCACAACGACAGTTAATATGCGATGAGGTGCGGAAAGTTGAACATAATGAACACTGAACAAACAATACAACAAATGACACAAATATAAAATTTATTCGTTTTCAGTCTCAAAAAAAAAAAGAAGTGAAATCGCATGAAATATGATGCATCAAAAGAATACTCGTAACGCTGAATGATTAATTATTATATTACACATCGAAAAGACTTGCTGCAGGTGCACAACAGGATGGCTTCGACGAACTCATAACACTCATAACATTAAAGGCATAACACTTCTGGAAATGAAAATAAAGGCACATTGCACTGATCCGATACCGTGAACGATTGCACGCACAAATCCAGATGGTCAGTAGTTGTGTTGATTGATATTAAGTTAAAAAGTTTAGATGAAGTCCTCAGAATGCGAAAAAACGTGACTAGAAATTCTTTATGGATAAACGACTAGTGCGAGTGTGATGTGAGAATAAAAATTATAGCGAACTGCTGAAATATAAAATAAAGTGAAAACAAAATGAGGCCGAGTGAAAGCAACAACAAGAAATGCAACGGACGGTTTGCACTTCATATGATCATACTAATGACAAATATCACAGATAATATCAACAAAACTGCACAATAAGTAATAATGATGATAAGATCATGCACTCGTGCATAATAGCACACCTTGATTTGCAGTGGCATCACCGCTACGGTTCATATTGGGACGACGTGACTTCGATGGTGATTCGTTCAGTTGTTTCAGTACATTTCCATTTGATGACGACGGATTTATTATCACCTTTTGATGATCAACCAATTCCTGCCTCTTAAAGTTTTGAAAAACGATGACTGATTGTGAGTTGAGTTGAGATTAGATGAATAAAACTAGAAAAGATAACTTAAAGGCAAGAAAATGGTAGAATGAATTGAAAAAAATAGGAAAAACGAAAGAACAGTGAGATGAAACTACCCTATCGAAGGATTGCTCATTACGAATGGTGGATATGCAACCAACCGGATTAGGTCTTGCACCTAGGATCGATGGTGGCTCATGTGCAATCCGACTCTCTTCGATTACCCTCTTGCTAAAAATGTCATTAAAAATTGGTGATGAAACGAGACGGTAACACATTCATCCACTATAAAACACAACCAATCAACTCATTTATCATTGTGGAACATTCTTATCAATTGAAGTCACTATCAATATTTAAATGAGTCAAAAAATCCTATGCATAACTAGTGACCAATGAAAGTGCGATCTGAGTTATTCAATTTCAGCAAAACTCATCGTTCACTCGAGATAAAATAATCGGAACTACTTACTCAGGACAAGGTCGTGACGATTGTGCCGTAGAAACCAGATCGGGAATTGCTAGACCAGCCGCGGCAGCCACCTGGAATAAAACTGGAATAAAATTCGGAAAAATACCCTTGACAGGTTTCAATGTTACCGCACACTTCTTTATTATTCGCAGAAATTTCATCAGTTGTTAACCGAAATATCACCAATTCGTTACTGAATATTTCAGAGAAATAATATTTAAAAAATGGCGAAATGAGGCTTAATTTGACGAAGACGTAGGATAATAATCAATAATGAATAGTAAAGTTTGGATATTGGAATAGTTAAAAAAAATGACTTGTTGTTTTACGTCATTTCGAATTTGTTCACGACGATTAACCAGTGACTGTCTTGGACCATAACGTTGAGATGGACGTCTTTCAAAGGTACTCAACTGACGTCTCGACAACCTTCCACCGTCCTTATGTACGTTCTCATATTCTGTTCGTCCTCTGTGAATTTACATTCATTCACAAAATTCACCATTATCTATTATATCAATGGAATTTCATTCCCATCAAATGACTGTGAAAAAAGACCGCAGGAAGGTACTGGAATCAATAAGGTATTGTACTGGAAAAGTACCGGAAACTATTGAAATCAATAAAAAAGTACTCGAACTCAAAAAGGTACTGAAATCAATGAAACGCGTAGCAAAGCATTTGATAACTATATTATTATCAAACGCTTTGCTAGGCGTTCCATCGCTAACATTTATTAATCGTTTGGAGTGGATAAAATAAACAATCGAATAAGAAACGACATGAAATGCTAACCGATATTTGAACGTACTTCCCAAACGAAACAACTGCGG